TCTGGAGTTATCTTGTGCATCCATTAGCAAGATGTGTACTAAGGTACCAGAAAAGCCTAACAGAAGTTAGTTTTTGGGTCTGGGAATGCTCAAAATGTTTTCTATATAAATTAATAGTAACTGCTTCACTTTGTGACAAAGGTTTCACAGAAACACTACTTTCACAGAAACCTATACCTGGCTCACAAGTCTGCAACCGTGAATTGAATGTTTTTCTTCCCTAATATCTACAGACAGTTCCCCTAAACATCAACAACTCAGTGGGGGCGGGGAGTGGGGAGTGGAGGGGGGGTAAAGGAAAAATGCATTAAAATAAAGGAAAAACTACATCTTCTGATACTTTCCAGATGTACCAGTAAAACAAATACCCAATAATATCAGTGTTTTTATTACAGTGACCACAATATATTCTGGACTCAGAGTCAATGTTAAGGACAACATCTAGAAAGGAATAAGCAACAAACAAAAAGTCATCTATTTATGATGGAAAGAGACAACTAATTACCTTATTCTTTAACCTTATAGAGAGGGAAAGTAACAAAATATATATATATATATATATATACACACATATACACACACACACACACACAAATGTGGTCACTTTCTTAAAGTGCTGGACGGTTAAAAAAAAAAAATTCAGGTTTGGTGCCCATATGGTCTCTGTCACAACTAGCCAACTATGCCACTGCAGCAGGAACACAGCCACAGAAAATACATAAATGAATGGGCATGGCGGTGTTCCAATAAAACTTTACACGCAGAAGCAGGCCCACAGATTGTAGCTTGTCAGCCCCTAATTTAAAACATTTCACTTTGGGACCACAGATTAAAAATCTCCACTTTACATGAGGCACCAAAACAAAAACACAGAAACAAATACCTAAGCAACTCAAAATATGTAATCATTAAAATTACAAAATATTTAGTGAGAACTTTACTTCCATAAGGTGAAGGGTAGAAAAAAGGCTCTTTCCCTAAATAAATATTTGTTTTAGCAGGCATAAAGTAACAGAAAAGCAGTACGTAAAACAATGGATGTTTAGAATGATTTAAAATAACATGCAAGGCTCTTCTATTCCACGATATATCCATATAATGAGAAAATTTACTTTTAGCTAGGTTTCATAAAAATCTAATGGTGACTACATAGTAAAGCCTATTCAGACAAATAAATGAATTATGTGAGAGAACCTAAAATTCCAGACTGATTATATAAGGGTAGGAAGAAATACAGAGTATTATCGCAGATCTTTCACATGTATAAGAAAAATAGCAAATCCTATTCGCTTCTAAAGATAAATAAAAAAAAAAAACAAATTTAGTTGTTTTACCCAAAAAGCAGATTTCAGTTACAAAATAATGATGATTCCCATTCTATACCCTTTAATCATTGGCTTCCACTTCACTAAGTGTCCAAAAGCAACAACAGGAAAATCATGAGACTTGGAACCAGTCAGCTGAAGATTTAAAGCCCTATTCTATAAATTCCCAGTTAAATGGTTTTTGACAAGTTATTTGTCTTATTGAGGATCAGTTTCCTAATTTGGAAAATGGGACTGATAACACCTTCAAACGTGCAGAGTAACAACTAATTATAGGCAACGTACATATAGTACACAGCACACAATGTCCAGCAATTTTTTTGTTATTTAACACTAAATTGAAATTTCTTATGTCCATGTTGTTAAAACACTTTTTAATGAGCTTCTTAAAGTACGTATTAATAAAATAGCATATTGGTCAATTACCTGAAAGCCCATAAGAAGTCAGCATCCAACGATCAAGATCTAAAATTAATAAATACGTTTTGCTTTGTTCACCTGCCATAATTGCACTGAACATTATCTTTTGCACATATTCTAAATTGAGAATTTTATAAGACAAATTTAATTACCTTGAGAAAACTATGTGACAATATGAACTGTTCTGGAAAGGATTCTACTCCCAACTATGCCACTAACACAGTAACTGAGGAAATCACTTCAAGTGAACCCCTCAAACTCCTCACTTACAAACCAAAAAAACTATGTTAACAATCCCTTGTCTTCTCCTCTAGTCTTCCAGCTCAAAATAGTTATTACTGCAATATAATTAAGCATCTCCAGATATGCTGGTAGACAGAGGAACTGAGATATCCTAATACTGCCAGAATGGAGTGCAGAGAAATCCCAACCGTAATCTGATAGTATCACAGTAGTTCAGATGACATATACAGTTCAGATGAAACAAGGAGAGCTTGGCCAGCTTAAAAACAAAAAGGTGCATACTGCACAAAAGTTTTTAAAAATGTAAATACCCAAGTGCCTAGAATAAAATAGCCTTGATTAGTTTCTAAGGGTATTACTTTAATGAAAAAATGATTTTTGTAAGACCAAATTGCAATATCAAGGTACTAACCTTAGCAAGAATATGTTCAGTGTCTATTATATCTTCAAGGTACTATGAGTATGTGAAATCAAATTACATAAGTAACATTTTATCCAAGTGAAAAGTCATCAGTTAAAAGTTACAAGAAAACAAATGACAAAAAGGAAAATGTTTTAAAAATCTCATTTATAACAGCACCGAAATGAATAAAACACCTGGGGATAACTTGTACACTGAAAACTACAAAACAGGTGGAAGAAAGTAAAGACAACACAAAGAAATGGAAAGACATCCTGTGTTCGTAGACTGAAGATTTAATATTGTTAAAATGTCCATATTACCCAAAGTGATCTACAAATTCAGTGTAGTCCCTATCAAAATCCCAATGGCATCTTTATGGAAATAGGGGAAAAAAATCCTAAAATTCATATGGAATTTCAAAAAACCCTAAATAGCCAAAATCTTGAGAAAGAAAAACAAAGCTGAATACCTCACACGTCCCGATTTCAAACATATTACAAAGCAACAGTAATCAAAGCAGAATGGTACCAGCAGAAAATTCCTAGAGGAAAAAATAAGGAAGACGCTTCCTATCATTGGTCATGGCAATAATTTCTTGCATATTACACCAAAAGTACTAGCTACAAAAGCAAAAACAGACAATATCGATTACATCAAACTTAAAAAGCTTCAGCAAAGGAAACAATCCACAGAGTAAAAAAGTAACCTACAGAATGGGAGAAAATATCTGCAAACCATACATATGATAAGGTAGTATTAATATCCAGAATATACAAAGACCTTCCTCAACTCAACAACAACAATCCTAAAAAACAGGCAAAGGACCTTACTAGACATTTCTTCAAAGAATACATACGGACAACAAGCACATGAAAAAATGCTCACTCATCATCAGGGAAATGGAAATCAAAACCACAATGAGGTATCACCTCACACCTATCAGAAGGATCACTATCAAAAAAATAAATAACCAGAAAAAAAATTTTGGAGAGGATGTGAAGAAATCAGAACGCTTGCACACTACTGGTGGGGAATGTAAATTGGTATACCACTATGAAAAACAGTATGGAAGTTCTTAAAAAAATTAAATATAGAATTACTATATGACCCAGCAAATCCCATTTCTGGGTATATATCTAAGAGAACTGAATAGGATCTTGAAGAGGTATTTGCAACACTATTCAAAAGAGCCAAGAGATGGAAACAACCTAAATATTTATCAACAGATGAATTGATAAAGTGGTATATATATACCACAGAATATTATTCAGCCTTATAAAAGGGTATCTTGTCATATGCTATAACATGGATGAACCTTGAGAACATTAAGCTAAGTGAAATAACCTAGTCTCTCTGGGCGCCTGGGTGGCTCAGTCGGTTAAGCGACTGCCTTCAGCTCAGGTCATGATGCTAGAGTCCCAGGATCGAGTCCCACATCGGGCTCCCCGCTCAGTGGGGAGTCTGCTTCTCCCTCTGACCCTCTCCCCTCTCATGCTCTCTCTCACTCTCTCTCTCCCAAATAAATAAATAATCTTAAAAAAAAAAAAAAGAAAGAAAGAAAGAAAGAAATAACCCAGTCTCTAAAAAGACAAATATCGCATCATTTCATTTCACTTTTAGGAAATATTTAAAGGAGTCAAACTCTTAGAAACAGAAAGCAGATGGGACACCTGGCTGGCTCAGTCAGTGGAGTATGTGACTGTTGATCTCAGGGTTATGGGATTGAGCCCCACTTTGGGTATAGAGATTACTTAAAAATAAAATCTTTTTTAAAAAAAGAAAAAGGAAGGAAGCAAGCAAGTAAGCAAGCAGAATAGTGGTTGCCAGAGGCTGGCAAGGGGGAAAAGAAGAGGAACTGGTCAAAGGATATAGAGTTTCAGGTTTTTGCAAGACGAAAAAGTTCTAGGGATCTGTTCCAGAACAACCTGCATATAGTTAGCACTCTATACTATACACTCAAAAATGGTTTAGGAATGGTAAATTACACTACTTGTTCTTACCATTAAAAAAAAAAAGTTATACAGAAAATGATCCTTGAGTGTTCAGACACGTGGGAAATTATTTTTAACTAGATTTTTTTTAAAAATCTTTCAGGTTATTAACCTTGGCCTTTGGTGTGAACTTTAACTACTAATGGCCTTTACTAACAAAGCAATTATGCTCAGTGTCTTCTTTCTGAAATAGTTAAGCTCTTTTTTTTTTTAAGATTTTATTTATTTATTTGACAGAGACACAGCGAGAGAGGGAACACAAGCAGGGGGAGTGGGAGAGGGAGAAGCAGGCTTCCCGCGGAGCAGGGAGCCCGATATGGGGCTCGATCCCAGGACCCTGGGATCATGACCTGAGCCAAAGGCAGACACTTAACGACTGAGCCACCCAGGCACCCTAAGCTCATCTTCTTAAACGTTAAGTCAAAATACTACAGAAGAAAATGGGCGCCTGGGTGGCTCAGTTGGTTAAGCGAGTCTGCTTGAGATTCTGTCTCCCTCTCCCTCTTGCACCTCTGCCCACTCACATGCATTCTCTCCCTCTAAAATAAAAATAAAATCTCTCAAAAAAAAAAATTTTTTTTTAAGTAAAAAGAAAAACCATGAAAGGAGTACCCTTACCTTCATCAAAGTCAGCATCATCTTCTGTGTGCTGCGGGAAAGGAAAGCAGTTGGTAATTTCAAGACGATCTTCTACAACCAAGCCCAAAAGCACTCCTTGAACCACTTCAGTTCCTTGTCCTTCTTCTTGATAATGTTTTATTATTTTTAATACCACCTAAAAGAAAATACAGAAGTGACCTTAACAACCATCCGTACAGTTTCTATTTCCTTTATTTCCAAGAAAAAATGAACCATACTATGGGTTTGCAAAAATCACAAAATTATATAATAGAACTAGCCAAGTTTCTTGTAAATCAATTCCTTTACTCTGACAGAAATAATAAAACTCACATAATCTAAATGTACATCTGTAACTCCTGGAGTTTGAAGACATGTCAAAAATGTCCACGTACAGCACTCATGACCTTCAGGTCAAGGTTCCCAAAAGGTCTGGCATCCAGGAGCTCCTTCAAACAGTATTACCTCAATCCAAAATTATTACAGAGGAAGTGGTCCTATTAATATCTCTTAACAGCATGATAATTTCCTGACACAGATGATAAAACCATCAATAAGACACAGAGATAAAAAACTCAATTACCTGAAAACCTGAAAGCAAACTGTTCCCTTGACAATTTCTCAACATCTCAAAATGGCTCCTGAACAGAACATCTCATTAAGCCAAAGGAAGCAACAATGGGAACGTTTGATAACAGAAAACAAAAAGAACAAAGTCTCCAGCACTACCTAATTTTCCTCAACCAGGATACACCACATAACCTCTAACGGAAAACTGGCTCTTACATTACTCTCTCCTTTAACATTTCCATAAAGATAAAGAGGTAACATTGCAAGGTTGGACAGGAAATTAATTTAAAAGTTCACAGTAACAATAATCATTAGTTATAATTCCTAGAAAATAAGGGTTTTGTTTTAATTTTTTTTTTAATTTTTTTTAGTATCATATAATGTATTATTTGTTTCAGAGGTACAGGTCTGTGATTCATCAGTCTTACACAATTCACAACGCTCACCATAGTACTCACCCTCCCCAATGTCCATCACCCAGCCATCCCAACCCTCCCACCCAAAGCATTCAAAATATAAAAAATATAATATAAACATGTATAGATATATATATTTATAAATATAAAAAAATTTTATCAAAACTAAGCTCATTCTTCAGTTTGACATCTTATGCCTTTATTTCCTACATACATGCTAAAATCTCAATTCTTTAGTTCAAAAAGTAATGTAATGGGCTTGCAATTCAAACTTGAAAGATGTCAAAAGGAAATTCCTGATCAGAACTAACAAATTCACATACAAGCTTTTGATATCCTACAGAAATAACTAAGAATTTATAAATAAAAACATTCCATAGATGTTTCATATTTACAAGACAAAAATCCTTGTTCTGCTTATGGTCTCCCCTCTTCAATAGTCTCCTAGAAAGGAAGAGATGTGTTTATTCACCACATCTTCAACACCCAACACAGGTCCTGGCACTTAAAAGATACTCGGAATCTATTTGCTCAAGGAGTGAATGTTAAACATTTATCAATCACTTACATCAAGCACTCCACAGTGCCTTACACATAATGACTCATTCAATCCCCTAACTACAGCATGAAGTGAGAAATAATAGTATTTCCTCATTTATTTGACAGATGAGGAAACAGAGACAATCTGACACAGAATTATTAAATCAGGGAGATGAAATATGACTTTGGACTTCAAGGTACTTATAATTACTTCACAATAACTGAGTAACTTTGTTTGTAGTAACAAGGCTGAAACAGAAAGAATGCAGGGACAAAAGCTCTGGAAGAAGGCGCTGTAGCTAGGCTGCAGAAGCAGGGTTTGATGCTTGAAGTAGTAAGGTTACTGGGTCAGGCAGCAAAAGACCTAAGCTAAGGGAATGGTCCTAGAGGTCAAATTTTTTGTGCCCTGATCACTAGACATCAAGTAGAATCAAGAGGAAACTGCCACTAGCTGCTGTAATGCAATACAGTTTCTAATCTTTAGCAGCACTATTCTCACAAGCCACAAGATGGGAATGTTCCACCACAAAAGTTCTGTTTCAGCCAAGCTCATGCCCTTTCATTTTCTCTCCCTCCAACCAACCATATGCCTCTGTCCCTAAAACAGGGCTGATATATTTTTAATTAATCCTGTTTGTCATGCTTCCTCTTACTTTTAAAAATAGATACATGAAAGCTTAATAGTCTCCAAAACAAAAACATACTCCTATATTTTGTTTATACGCATCACAAATGATCCCACATACTCAAGAGCTCTGTATCACTTGTTCTCAGCTTATCAAAATGGCCTGCGGAGCTTTTTTTTTAAATAAATGAAGAGAGGTCTTCACCCTGGCTACATATTAGAGCCATCAGTGTTTAAAAAAACAAAAGGAAAAAGCAAAAAAAATACAAAAAGCAGATGGCCTAAATCCAACCTCTGAAATTCAGAGTTAACTGATCTGGGCTAAGAATCCTATATTGGTTTTGAGGGGATTTTCTTTTCATTTCTGTTTTAGATTCTCCAGGTGATTCTAACATCCTACTTCATTCTAACTTTTAATGAGGAAGTATGGAGCAGCCTTCCTTTTTTTTTTTTTTTTGTTTTAACTCCTCAGAGGACTGCAATGCACACAAGTGGTTAAAACAAAGTTTCCTTTCCTCTGTTTTAAGACTCCCTGTGTTGATGAAAAGTTGAGTACACTGAGAAACACAGACCCAAAAGTGAACATTTTATTTATAAAAGCATAAATATCACCCCCTAATAGAGGAACTCAAGCCTTACTTGGAAGAATCTCTAGAGCACAGAGATGAGAGGGAAAGTAATGCCAGCAATCCATCTGAGAAGCATCAAGTGTTCTGTAAGACAGGCTTTATAGCTTGACCCCAAATTAAAGACTGCTTATATGAATGCTGATCGGGCTTGTTTATCCTACAAATTCATGGGTAAATCAAGATTTTCCTACATATTATGCCTAAAGGATGGAAACAAACTGGCCAGTAGAATCCTAAATTACCAAATTCTTCTACACCCCCTCCCAAACTTTGTCATACTCTGGGTCTAAGTGTTTATTAACTTGATTTGCCCTGCACAGTCAGTATTGGTCTCTGAATACATCAACTATCTCTAGAACAGTCGCCCAGCTTTCTGAGGTTTGCACATTCTCAAGTTGGGTGGATCTTAGCAAGGAATAGTAAACAGATGTCCGGTCTGCTGAAATTACCCTAGAGGAACCATTTTTTCTAATACTGTTTATTATTCAGCGCAATTTGAAAAAGTAAAGCAGACTATTTTGTAATCTCTAATGAACACAATACTATTTTTTAAAAGTGCCTGACTTTTTAAAAAATGAAAACCTAACTTTGCCCAAAAGGCTAAACACAACTATTTAACTTCAAAGACACAAAGTATTCTCAATACTATAGGATAAAATATAAATAACAATCTAAAATATCCAAATAAATTAATTCTACCAGAAGTCAACAAACCTAAAATTTCAGTTAATCAGCATGATGAATAAAATCTTCCATCCTCCCTAAAATGGAACATTTAGCAGAATCTCTAAGACCTCTCTATCAAAACCATATCAAAAACTTACAATTCCATACCAGGGAACCATTTAAATCTGACCCAAACAAAGATTATGCTGATGAATTAGAGTAATTTTCTATCAAATATGATATCTGCAAAGACCAGTTACTACAGAAAGATTTGGAAGCTGTGCACAGAATCACGAGAATTCTGTTATTTTTGCCTTCTTTCATTCACTCATTAATCCATTCACCTAGGTATGTGTTGAGTGACTTCTACAGGCCAGCCACCTCTGACAGGCCTGTTGGGAAAATGAAACTAAAATCAAACACATAAGAGTCTTTACTTTCATGAGGTTTATATTTTAAAATAGCAAGTCTCAAAAGTTTTTGATCCTGAGGCCCTTTTAATACTCTTAAAAATTACTAAGACCCCAAAGAATTTTTTATATTGATATTTACATATTAGAAATTCAAACTGAAAAATGTTCAAAATATTTATTCACTTAAAAACAATAATAAAATATATTACACTGTCATAAATTACACTTGTGAAAAATAACTTTATTTTTCAAAATAAAAACAATCAGGATACAAAAAATGACATTTTCACACTTTTGTAAAACATTTACATTTTCAGAAAGAAATTTTAATCAGGATAGACGAATAACATTGTGGGGCGCCTGGGTGGCTCAGGCAGTTAAGCATCTGCCTTCAGCTCAGGTCGTGATCCCAGGTTCCTGGGATCAAGCCCCGTATTGGGCTCCCTGGCTCAGCAGGGAGTCTGCTTCTCCCTCTCCTTCTCCCTCTGTGTGCGCGTGCATGCTCTCTCTCTCTTTCATAAATAAATAAATCTTTTAAAAAAAGAATAACATTGTTTCACATTTTTTGTGAATCTTATTAATCTCTAGTTTAATAAAAGACAACTGGATTTTCCTATCTGCTTCTGCATTCAATCTTTTAATACCACACAGCATGTAGCATCTAGAAACCTCCATTAAACACTCATAAAGAATGAGAGTAAAAATGACAAATAATGTTTAAATATTATTATGAAAATAGTTTTGACCTCAGAGACCCTCTATAAAAGTGTTGGCGATTCTCCCACTTTACGAACCACTATTCCAGAATGACAATTAAGAATGTGAATGAAAATTACAGATAGTGAAGCACACTGAAGAAAAAAACAGAGGCATGAAAGGGAGGTAACCTTAACGTGTATGACCCAGGAAAGGCCCCTCCCTGAGACAACACATGAGCAGAGAAGTGAAGACCAAGCAGTCAGCTTGGGTGAAGAGAATACTTGCCAGCTATGGAGTTCAAATTAAAATGCTTATATTAACTTTTCATGAAGTACACAAGTCATACTTTAGCAGAACAAAAAGGCCTAGAGATGGATGAACACTAGGATGGGAGTAGACTTTCATGTTTTTACCAAAAGTACTGGCATATAAATAATAAACGCAATCTACTCACAGACATAGTTATGTCTTAAGATACCATTACATTAATTCAAGATGAGCAATTTCATATAATTTTTGTTGATGAATTATGAAATACAATGTATTAACAAAATCCTTTCAGGAAGTATTACAATGATTTTTAATCAGCGATATTTCTA